GAAGACATTAGAGAGTACTTGCACAAAGTAAACACTGTCCCACCGTCATATAATACTGGCAAACTCTGCACTGAAGATCCAGTATCTGTTTCGAGACAGTTTTCTCTAAAGTTTAACGAAATGTTTAATAAAGTATTAATCAAGGGACAGGTTTTGGGCCAGGTTAGAGAGTTCTATTATAAGAAAGAATACCAGGCCAGAGGAGCTCCTCACTATCACTGTTTAATCTGGATAGCCAACACTCCAGTTGTTAGGGAGAGTAGCGCCGAAGATGTCGTCAGATTCATAGACGAAAGAGTAACCTGTAACATACCAAGATACCTGCCCAGAATTACACAAAATTGTTACGAGGTACCAGTTACACAAGTGCAGCAATTACTGTAAGAAAAAGAGAAAGTTCAGTAAAAACGTATTTGTTACAATGTGCAAATTTGGATTTCGTTGCCCAGTTTCTGAAGAGACTGTACTGAAAAATGTCCAACAAAGCATGAAAGCAGAGAAAACGATATATCACCTTAAACGGAGCGAGGAAGAAGTGAGAGTCAACGATTACAATCCTCTGCTTCTATTATTATGGAAGGCTAATATCGATGTATCCTTTACCAGTGTGTTCTCTTGCTCTGGCCGATTATGTGAGTGGCTACGTGACAAAGGCAGAAAGAGGTCACATGCAGGATCTGTGGCAAGACATCTTAGATGATAGAGGCATCTACAATAAATTGTTTAGAATCGGCATAAGATGTCTCGACAGCCGACCCATTGGACTATACGAAACATGTGATATATTACTCGGTGAGCCACTTTGTAGAAAATCGAGAGAGGTATCATGGATCGATGTAAAAATGCCGCATAAAAGAAAGCGAAATTTAACAAAGAAACTCTGTGAAGTTGAAGAAATAGCAGCAAATGATCCATCAACTGAAGACTTTTATGGGGAAGGCCTTGTCACTCACTTTTATCCAAACAGAGCCCAAGAACATGAAGAATATTGCCTTTATGACTTTGTAGCCAAACTCACTTACAAGGGCAAAGATAAAAATGGTGAACGAATCTATAGACCACTACAGAAAGAGCGCCTTCCTAACTTTATTGATTTCGAAGTCTATAAAGAAAATCAGAGAGACAGTTTCTATTATGCCATCACTTTCCTTTTCGTGCCGTTTAGAAATGAGGATGAATTAGTTCATGATGGTGAAACTGTCCAAGAAGCATTCGATCGCCACATTGTCGACCACGAAAGGTGTGTCGAAGCAAATGAGAAATTCAGAAAGTTGCTCAGATGTAGCGAGAAATTAAGACATACAAGATGCCAGAGCAGCAAACAGAGAAGAGGAAAATGATGTGGAAGACGACGATCCACAACTGATGGGACAGATTAAAGATACAATGAATGACGTGAGAGATATGGACACTGGATCTGGTCTCACTCTGCAAGAGAGAGAATCGATGCTAAATGTAGACCAAAAACGCATCTTTAATCACGTAAAAGCTCATCTCTTGAGGCAAATTCAATACGAAAATAAATCGAAACAAGAGAAGGAGCAATCAGAAAGTGTAAAACCGTTGCACATGTTCATCAGTGGTGTAGGTGGCACCGGCAAATCTTTTCATATTGAGGCAATTAAAGCACTAGTGAAAAGCCTCTGGTCAACACTGACCAAACACACATGTGCAGTTTGTGCTCCAACAGGATTGGCAGCTTACAATGTGGGAGGTGTGACAGCACACAGACTGTTTCAGCTGCCAATAGAACATGATGGACAATGTGCTTCATACTGGTCCATACCAAAGGCTAGTCACAAAGTAATGAAAACAGAACTTCAGGATCTGAAAATGGTAATCATTGATGAAGTGTCCATGGTTTCTAGCCTCAATCTAACTTACATACACTTGAGAATGAATGACTTATTCGAATCAGACGAATGGTTTGGTGGCAAGAATGTCCTCTTTGTAAGTGACATCCTTCAATTGCCACCAGTTTGTGGACAACCAGTGTTTGACAAAGTAACAGCATCAACACTGAAATACAGACTTGGTAGTATGGGTGCAGTGAACATATGGCATGATACTGTCACCTATGACGAATTGACAATAAATTAATGGCAAAAAACAGACCAGAAATTTTCGGAAATGTTGGACAAAGTGAGACGTGGCTTTCCAGACGATGAGACTCTCGCTACACTTTCCGGAAGGGTATTTTCGATGCCCATTGAGAAAAAAATTAAAATATTACAACAGGGTGGTAACACCCCAGTTTGCTGTTTCCAAAAGTAGACATGTGCAAAGAATTTAATTAAACAATGCTGGCTGATCTATCAAGTCCTACCATAAAAAATAAGAGCCACAATTTTAATTGATGGTACTGGCAACATACATGTACGTAGAAAGAAAGATGATGATGATTTAGAACAAAAGGTTGAGAAAAAGTTAAAAGAATTAAATAAAGATATTAACAATACTGGTGGTTTGGAAGCCAAATTAAAATTGGCTGTGGGGGCTAGAGTAATGTTGCATTGCAATGTAAATGTTGAAAAAGGATTAGTAAATGGAGCACTTGGTACAGTGCAGGCCATTTCAGAAACAGGCATAACAGTTAATTTTGATAGAATAACTGATCATTGTGAGATTGAAAAAGTGAAGAGAAAGTTTATGGTAATGAAAAATGTTTTATGTGTATAGAAGCCAGTTTCCTTTGATATTAGATTTTGCTGTTACCATACACAAATGCCAGGGACTGTCACTAGATAATGCAATCATTGATCTCTCTGAAAATGTATTTTGTGCAGGAATGGCTTACGTTGCTCTATCACGAGTACGAATACTGTCTGGTGTCCATTTGACATGTTTCAACCCCAAATCATTGATGGTTTCCTCTTGTAGCATAAAAGAATTAAACAGGTTGAGACAATTGTACAGGCCAGACCTCCCACAATATGCCATTCCTACAGATTGTGGCAGTAGAAAGCATACACTTACTGGAACTATTGATGAGCCACAAGCAAAAAATCAAAAAATATGCCACCACCACAGGTAGCTCGTGATAAGAGAAGTAGGCCATCAGACAGTAAGAACAACGATAAAGCTAATTGCCCCAAAAAACCACCTATTGTTATCACTAATAATAATAATAATGACGATAGTGATGATTGTGTGATGACGGGAATGAGTACAAGACCTAGTAATTTAAAATACCATCCCCCCAATGCTGCTACTCAAAAAGCATGGTGTAATGCCCTAAACTTGGATTTGTTAAATCATACAGACCAAAGTTGGGTAGCCCAACCACAGAATTAACTGTACCCAAAGGATCTACTAATGAACCTGGTGATGGTAATTGTTTATTTAATGCTCTGTCTCATGCCATTACAGGTTCTTATATTCAGCAAAACTTCATCAGATCGGCCATTATTAGACACATGCTTACAATGGAAAATTGGCTACGTAGTTGGCTGACTCCCTATAATTCAGTAAAAGAATATATTGCTGGAGAAGGTATGGATAAGAATTACACGTGGGCGGGAGATATCGAAATGTTAACAATGGCTGATTTACTGAATGTGTACATATAGTCCTATAATGAAGAGGGGAATGCATGGGTACGTTATTCACCACTTACACGTAATGCTGATCCTAATTCACCAGCAATATACTTAACCCTTGTTAACATGAACCATTATCGTGTAGTTACATCAATAGCAGATAAAGAAATTGCTAATACTAATAACAGTGGTGATAAAAATGCATGTGATGATGACAAAAAAAAAGAAAATAAAAAGAGCAAAAAGAAACTGTCTTATGTAATTCTGGGCAAGTATTATGATTAGGAATGTGACAGGTAATGTATCTGTCAATAAATGATATGACATCTTCAGGTTTGTCCTGACCCATTTTAGGAGCATCCCTTATCCAAAGAAGGACGTGATAATGTGGAGCACCACATTGTTGGTACTCTTTTTTCCAAAAAAAGTGATCTACTTGCCCCAAAACCTGACCCTTCTTAATAAAGATTGAAAAAAATTCATGAAATATGTGAAAATTGGCGAGTTACGGAAATAGGATCTTCAGAGCATAATCTGCCATTTTCATATGAGTCAGGGACATCATTGACTTTCCTCAAATGTTCAAGAATGTCAGGAGATTCATACTCAGCACAGCTAAAAGTGCAAAAGAAAGTGGGAGATCCTATCATACAGTCAACATCTCCTTTACGTTTAAACCAGAATTGCTTAGTGCCACGTACAGACTGGAGCACAGTACATAAGCTAGCTTCCAATTCTCTGTCTGCATTGTTGAGCATATTTAGCATAGCTTGAGCTGACATGTTTTGACTGCTTGTTCTTAGTGTGTTGTATATGCCACTTTTCAGCTCCCTTAATTCTTGCTCCCATAATAAAAAGAAGACATAGGCTGGATTCTTCCTATACTTCGAGTCAACATTAAGAAGTTGAGATTTAATATACTCTGCATTAGTAAGTTTAACTGCACGAGAATGATCTGCACCGAAATTCTCAGTTGGAAAAAGAGTAGGAAAACACATGACATCAAGGTGTTTTTGACAGTTGTCTAAAGGATTTTCTCTAATTTCATTCATCTTATACTGAGAAATATCAGATTCTGTACTTAATTGATTATCCAATTGTCGAATTGTGTACGATTGAAATGAAGCAATGTCTTCTTTGGTAGCTTCTTCAACTAAAGTACTAGTGGTATCATTTGACACTTCAAGGACTTTTTTAGCAGCTTCGTCAAGAGATTCATCATCAACGGATGCGTATAGCCAGTTAATGTCTTTTAATTTCGTAATGGCTGCCTTGAGGAATGTGATGTCAATAAGAGAGCGCCAAATGAACTTTTTCTTTGTAGGTACACCATTGAGGATGATATAAAGTTAAGGATCTGCTAAATTTGGATCGTCTTGTATCTCATTAATGGTCCTTTCAGTTTTATGAAAAGGCAAGGGAAGGAAAAACAAGTTTCCCTTGAAAGCTTTGAGTGAATTATGTGACCATAATTGACAAAAGGGCCCTTATGGCCGATTTTAAAATTGATTGTTATAATGGAAAATATCAACCTGTGTGTGCTTTGTTAGACAATCATTGTTCCTAAAAGATTCATGGTAACTTTTTGCATCCTGTGGAGTAATTTTATGATAAATGGGGCTCAGGAAGTTGGATTTCTTAGGCTAGAAAGACAAATTTCACTACCTGCCATAAGGTACCTTTTGTCAATTATGGTCACATATGTTGGTACTTTTGCAGTATACGTACCAAGTCTAACTACTGTCTCGTATGCTTTTGCTCGCTGAATCAGTTGTACACTAAGTTGATCTAAATTAGGAAGCTCTTGAGGTAAATGGTCAGTTTGTAAACCATTCAAAACGCAGCATGCTGGCATTTGATTTTTCTTAACAATACTATTTTTACAATATGGACAAATATAAAACACATCAATTGGATAAGGGGGATTGTGTGATGTGATGTACTGAAACAGTTGCTGCAAAATAGGATTTGAGGATGTGGCACGGTCAATCATAGACATTGTATCACGTCTAAGTAACATTTCACAGCTGCAGCAAGGACAGTCATAAAAAGTATAGATTGCTTTTTGATATTTATCAATTGATGAAGCATGTTCAACAAGAAGCTTAGGCTCAAGTTCTGGATCTCTTAGACCAGTATTGTCAGAACATGCTATATAGTCAGAATTTTTATTATCGTCTTGTGTGAATAGACTATCAAAAGAGTGAATGCCCGTAAGTTTCAAAAGCTCATTATAATCACCTCCTTCAAGTGCACAGTTAAAAGCCATTATATTACCATAATTACGTAGCACTTGATAAATTTGCCTTAAAAGTACTCTGAGAGCAGAGGAATGAACTAAAGCTGATCTGAAAATCCTTAACTTACTGTAACATTCTGAATCTTCATCATAGCAAGACATGCTGTGACCTTGATGCCTAAACTCTATAGTAACATCACTATCAATATTATGAGATTCGAAAAATCTTTTAGCTTACCTTTCAGTATTGCAACCATGATCAATGGTATATAAATAGTCCATCAGTACATTGATGGGTTTTTTAAATACATCAAAGATTTCCAAAATAACATTAATTTCAAGATCATTCAGTTGCTTGCAATTATTAGTGCATTTCCATTGTTTAGTCCACTCTTTAAACAATGGAATTCAGCAAAATGGCACTGACCGTAACAATCAACAGGAATAGGTGTTTTGTCACATTCCCTGTCAATTTCAATATCACTACATTCATCATGCAAATCAAATATAGCAGAACCTTGTTTCAATGCACAGGCAGCTTTGTGCTTTCTTTTTAATTGAGCAGAGGAACTTTCACTACACTTCAATTTTGTGTACTTGTAGGCTGTTTCATAAAAATATGGTTCTCCACTAGCTACATTGCAACCATCACCAAAGTCAGTCAGGCTTGCTGCTTCACAATTCTTGACTTTAAATATAGCTTTATAAAATTGTGAAACTGTCTTTGTTTTATTGCAGAGTTTACAAGTTTGGTAGCTGCATATCTACAGGCAGTATTAAACAAGGCAGCAGCAGAAATTTTTTGAGCAAAAGGATAGTTATTCTGAAAATGATATACAACTTGAGTTTCTACTGCCCAAAGTTGAAGTTTCAGTTTGCTCAAATATCTATAAACTTCAACTTTTTTGGTTTTCTCAAAATATATCTAGACTTTCTGGCAGCTCTTATTTTCTCACATCTTTTTCTATAATAAGCTCTATTCCGCCTCTGTTTCAGCAGAGGATTAGAAAGCCTCTTGGCTCTATCATAAATTGTAGCAGCTAATCTTTTTCTGTAAGGATTAGCCAAATATTTAGCTGTTTTGTTACTAGTAATTTGAAAATGATTATTGTAATAATGCATTTGTACTAACATCCTTTTTGGGGGACGATTTTTATTGAAATGAGCTTTCACTTGAGCTCGTTTCTTTTCAGGATTCTTTTTGAAGTTAGCTCTCACCTGTGCTTGCTTTTTCAAAATTTTCAACTTTGATCTCTCTTTCTTTGTGAGTTTTGGTTTTTTGCAAATTTCCCCATTACCAAAAACAGATGTACATGTACTACTTTTATTCATAGCAATATTACTATTATCATGAAGAAAAGCATTACCAATATTATCATCATCATAAAAGGCATTCACATTTACATCACCT